TTAAGGGAAGACTGTAAGGGGGCTGGTTAAAATTCCAGCTCTGCCCCTGCTGCCTTGGGACTTTGCACAAGACCTTTAAACTCTCTGGTTCCCAATTTTCTGGCTGATAAAACTCAGCTGGCAACTCTGGCTCTCTGAACATGAAGATTAGATGAGATAGATGTTTTAGAAAATACGAAATGTTCAACGTAAGCTTCTAGCACACAGTTCAGCCACTGATTTTAAGAGGCTGAAAGTAAGGAGGGAATTAGCATTTTGGGCACCAGAATGCCAGGCGTTATGTTTGAACATTTTACATTGAATATTCTGTTCACTCCATGGATCACCCCTAGATAGCTATTATCTTATTTTTCAGAAGCGGAAAGAGAGGCCTGTTTTGATTACTGATTAGGCACCATGCCCAGGAGACATGAAGGTAAATAAGAACTAGTCCTGGCCTTTAGGAGTTTATCATTATGGTTACTTAGGTTGTTTAGATCAGCGCTCCTCACATTGTAATGCACACCTAGCATCATGTTCAAATACAGATTCTGACTCACTAGTACTGGAATCTGGCTGGAAATTCTGCATTCTCCCAGATGACATAGATGCTGCTGGCCTGAGGATGGTATTTTAAGGAGGTTAAAGGTCAGATTCAGCACACACACACACATACAAACACACACACACACACACACTTAAACACACATACACGTTTTTATCAATACTTGCAGTCATGCTAAATTGAAGCAGGGAAAAGATCTCTTACAGCAATTCCAACTTCAGGAAATGGAGAAGTAGAAGGAGAAAGCTTTGTGCTCTAGTATTTAACTGAAGAGCAGTCACTAAGACCAGGCATTCTGTTCCAGAATCTAAACCTTCCCTTGTTGGGGCTGAGCAGAATATTGTTTTTCTGCCCCTTGGATATATCCCATTATGAGCTTTGATCAAAGCAAACCTTTCCCTTTGAGGCTTGGGGCACATGTTAATGGCTTTGTTATTCGCATGTATCTGCATATATTTGCAAAGCAATTCAACTGCTTCTGATGGGGAGGAGCAATAGGGCTGGTGGTTGAGTCTAGGGTTTAAGCATCTGTCTAAAGCTTGGTCCATAGCATCTCATCTTAAAAGCAATCTAACAGCAGAGAGCTGGGGCAGTCCTGGTGATTGAAGGAACTAAGAACTCAACTTCCAGCTGCTTAGCTGGTTGAAGATTCCAAGCCCTTCACGGGAGCTTTTGGTCACAGGGAGCTTTGCTCCACTTTGAAGCTACCCATTGCTTCCCAAGTATCTTCCTTTTTTTTTTTAAAGAATTAATTAATTAATTAATTAATTAATTAATTTGAGGGAGAGATGGGGGGAGCAGCAGACGAGAGGGACAAGCAGATTTCCCAATGAGCACAGAGCCAGATGCCAGGCTCAGTCCCACAACCCCGAGATCATGACCTGAGCAGAAATCAAGAATTGGATGCTCAACCTCTTGAGCCTCCCAGGTGCCCCCCAGATATCTTCTTAAAGTGTTTCTCTGAACAGGCCACTCTCCTATTCAAAGACTTTCCTTTGTTCTCCATTATCTATGAGAGAAAGCAAATCTTAACATGACACTCAAAACCCTCCCTACATAACTAGGTCCCTTGGCTTCAGCCTCCCCTCTGCTATCTCCCTTAGGTGGGCATGCTCTAGCCAACTGAAGCAACTCTTGTTTTCCCTAAGCCTTATTGATTCTCACCTTTAAGACTTTGCTTTTGTCAGTTCTTCAGTAAGTGCCTTCTCCCTACTTTCCTAACTTATGTCCACATTCTATCCATCCTTCAAGACTCAGCTTCAGTCCTGTCCCCTCTTAGCCTCCTTAGGGAGCCTTCTTGGAACTTTCCACCTGGAGAAATTCCTCCCTCTTGTGAACCCCCTCAACATTTTAGCCATGACCTTCTTATTGTGTGAAGTTTTTTCTTTGTTTATGTATTAGGAAAGTCCTGGGTCATTGCATGTCTTAAAGGCTGCCCATGCCTATGTGTGTGTGTGTGTATACATATATACATAGGTATATATATGTATGTGTATAAAAAAGTGCTTAATAAAACTTAATAAAACTTTGAGTACATGAATGAATGAAAGATAAGACAGATGGCTTCTGAACTATGATTTTATGGCAGCATATTTTTCAATGTATTCATTCTTTTAATACATATTTATTGAGCTCCTGCTCTGTTTCAGGCATGAGATTCTGGGAGTACAAAGGTGAGGAGAGGAGAGTCCTGGCCCCCCAGGGGCTGTTCTGGGGATGGGGCCATCTCATGTTCTTTGTTTAATTAAGTTGGCTACACTCCAACTAGTTGCTTAATAATAAATGATTTGAAAAATCTGAAAACATCTGATATTTTTACAGATCAGTGACCTGTTAGATGAACAGGCTAAATCTTGTTTAATCTGTGCTTCTGTTCATCAAAGAAGTGTTTTGGTGTGGAGTGTGACAGCAAATTAGATTGTACTTTCATTGTGCTGTTTGCTCTCCCCCCATCTTAAAAATAATAATGGTATATATTTTTGGTAGAAACCTTGGAAATAAAAAAATGAATAAAAATATCTCATAATTTCAGAGACAAGAAATCAATGATTATTAACATTTGGCATATTTCCTTTTAATTTTTTGTTTTATTTTTAGAAATGCACACAAAAACACAGTTGAGTCATGCTTTTTGTATCAGACTTTTACTGTTTTTTTTCCACATAATAGTATACTTAACTACATATTTTTTGCATGTTGTTAAAAATTCTTGAAATGATTTTAAATTACATTTAGTGTTTATTGTATGGATGTGTCATAATTTTTCAACCCTTTCCCCATTATTTATAAAAGCTAAAAATGGGAAACAGCTACACTATGAACATCTTTGTGTGTCACTATTTTCCCTTGTCTGATCATTTTATTAGCATTCTTGAAGTGGAATTAGTGAGTTCAAGGGTATGAATATGCTTAAGTCCTTTCTTTTCCTTTTTACCAGTTTTTCTTTACCAGAGATGGTTAATTCTTCTCATTTTATTAGGATGAACCTGGCCTCAACTTTCTTTAATACCCTTTTGTAATTAACGCAGAGTGTACCGGCTCCAAGCCCCCTCCCTCATTAAAGCACAGCAAACAGCTTCAAGATCTTTTCTTTGAGACAACATCCCCATTCACCAATATCCACAGTGCTGGCCAATGCTGCTCCTGTTGATTTTTTTGTAGTCTGGGTGATGGATTTTTGTAACAGCAACTCTAAGTGGACTTGACATCAGAAACACTTTTTTTAGTGCATCCAGCCTGCATTTTGATCTTTTAGCTAAAATATACTGTAAGCACTTCTTTTGCTCTCAGACTTCTAGAAGAGCAATCCCACTGAGACTGTGTTGAATTAGCCTGAATCACCAGCTTCTCGTTGCTTGCTGGGATAAGGGCTATCCACCCATGGACCTCTCAAGGTCCTGGTTCTCATCTTGGTCTCTTTCAACTGTGGAAGAATCAAGGAGCTCATTATTGTCAGCCTTAATACCAGATAGTGAAACTTCACTTTAATTGAATCTACTTATAAAACTCTCACATTTGTGTAATCCTCTACAGTTTACAAAGCACTTCCAAGGGCATCAGCTAATTTGGTCATCACCATCTCTCTGCAAGGTACCTATTTATACCTCTACTGTTTCATAGGCAGAGTAACTGGTATATAAGCAGTGCTTGTGCTGGCATTAGTAATGGAAAGAATGTGGGAACATTCTTTGAAAACATATATACTCAATTTCAAATACAACTAATTAGTTGTATTAAGTAAGTTCTCTGAGGATCAGTTTCCCCTCTGTGTGTGGAACAATACAGTTGATTCTTATTTTTTGCAGATTCTTTGTGAACTCAACTACTAAAATTTATTTGTAATTCCCAGATTGATATTGGTGGCACTTTTGTGGCCCTTTTGTTGCACAGAGCAACAAAAATATAAATTGCCCAATAGGCGTGCACCCAGCTGAGGTCACACAAGTCAATATTCTGTCTTTTTGTTTTGGTGATCATACTGTAAACAGGTGTCCTTTGTGAGATCTTTTTAGTGCTACATATTACATTTTTGTGTCCCTTTTTTGGCGATTTCACTTTTTTTTCCCACTTTTTTTTCACACTTTTTTCTATGGTTGAACCTCAAGTATAGTACTGAAGTACTATCTTGTGTTCCTAAGCAGAAGAAGGCGGTGATGTGCTTTATAGAGAGAATATACATGTTAGATAAGTTTCATTCAGGAGTGTGTTACAGTGCTGTTGGACATGATTTCAATGTTAATGAATCAATATGTATTAAATAAAATGTCTTTAAAAAGAAACACATATAAATAAAGGTATGTATTGATCAGTTGATGAAATTATTGTGACCAGAGGCTCACAGGAACCTAGCCCCCTAGGAACAATGGCTTAGTATGCACACAGCTTTATAGAACATTACTGCAAATAACAATAATGATTGTATCTATTTTATGGGGTTGCTGTGTATGTTAACTAAAGATATGCGCAAAATGCCTACTATGTTGATGTTCTATAAGGGAAGACTGTATCCTACTGTATGAGGGAGCAGAGACTATGAGAAGTTACCTGCCTTGTTTAAAATCATTAGACCAGAAAGTGGCTCAGGTTAGTAGCATATGAATCCATTCTATCTGAATCCAAAAGCAGCAATCCTCAAAGCATACAGGCTACATCTAGGAATAATCCCACATGGAAATTAAATGCTTTTTAGTTCCTTCTGACTGCTCTTGACTTAAAGATTTTATCTACATGACTGAATTCTGAAAAACCTATTTACACCACCACTACCACCATCTTTGTGCCAGGCACGGTGCTAACCATGTGCCATCTGGTACCTCTTCATTGCATATTGATCATATAAAGTAGGCATTATTGTTATTGTGACCATTTTAGAGACCCAGAGAAGTTAAATGAATTTTTTCAAAGTCCTACAACTTGGAGAACAAAGATAACAGTTTAGGTCTTTTTGACTCCACAGCTCCTGTTCTGAATCTTGACATCAGAAAGCACCAAACTCTTGGAGAATCTATAGAACAGCAAAACAGCCAACTGAAGAATCAGCAACAACAACGACAACAACAAAACAGTGGAGAAGGACATAGAGTTATCTATGTTTACTTACCCAGGTAAAGTTATTCAAGAAAGTAATCAGCATTAACCATCATGGTCTTACAAAGAAAAGTAATCTTAATATCATAAAAGTATGAAGAACTTAACTTTGGATTAAAAAAATCCAACCCATTTGCCTTTATGAAAGCCTTACAACATTATCCTTCTTTTCTCATTTCACCCAGAACAGGGCTGCTTTTGTCACAGACAAGTGGCCTTTGGCAATCACAGCTCTGTACTGTATTCTAAGTTTTTTTCTCCTGTCTACGTCTGAGCTTTGTCATATACCCAGGCAGTGGATTGGATAAAATGATATCTAAGATCACTTTTCAATTCCAAGGATGATTTTAGAGTTTAGCCCATGTCTCATTTCAGTCCGGAGACAAAGGGGAGGCTGGCCTCATGTACATTAGACATCAAGTCAGCTGCTACTGCTCTATCAGTCTTGCACTTGACAGCAGCAGGCACCTTGCGAATTGACCTCTAGGAAGAAAATGAATGCTTAGTGGTGGCAAATAAGTTGCGTTAACTATTGGGAAACAGAGTACACACATAAATCTCCTGTGGATCTATATTCCTTAAGGAAATCCATCAGGGAAGAGAGGCAACTCATAGAAGATGAGGACATAACTCGCTGGCTTTTTTGCCCCCCCCCCCTGAGGTAAATACCCTTCAGAAATGGAAATGGCCCACCAGATAAGTTAGCTTTAGGACTCTTTCACTTTTCTGTTCACCTGTAAATTAGGGATTTCCACTGTCCAAGGCTGTACTCACTTGCTAAAATATTGCTAAAATAATAAGAAAGAGGCAACAGCAAGTACAGTTTGTTACTGTGAATATGGTACCATCTGATGATATACCAAGTTCTTAGCATATTTAAACCTCACAAGAGCCCTGGGAGATAATACCGTCATCATCCTCATCTACAGAGGAAGAAACTGAGACAACAAAAGGTGAAGTGGCTTGACCCATCACATGACTAACAAGTAGGAGAGCTCTGAATTGAACTCATATCTCTCTCTGCAAAGCCTCAGCATTCTAACCAATACGCTATGCTGCCTGGCCTACCCTGTATGCTATCTTTCTATATCATTTCCAGATTTTTCAACTAACTGCCCAACTTCTTAATTTTTCTCTTTTGGTGACCATGTATGAAAATAGCCTGAATCTATTCAATTAATATACATGAATCTTGCTGTATGTGTCTGATTCAGCACTCTGGGGACACAGACATGAAGTGCAGGTACCTACTTTTGAGAAGATCCCATTCAAAAAGGGAGACATATATACATGTGGCTATATAAAGCGGTCTGTAGGAGAGGTATTAGGGAAGTTACAAGAATAAAATGCCATTTGAGCTAAAATTTGTAGGATGGAGGTCAGAAATAATAGTGCTCTCCAGGTGGAGGTGAGAACAGGATCCATGGAGCCTCTGTTGTAGCTGGACTGCAAGGTGTACGCGGGTGATTGTGGGAAACGATGGTGCTGCAGTCATCCAGGGGTCGCAGTTTGGAGATTCTTGGGTACCATTGAAAGGAGATTGGATTTTATTAAGTAGACAAAGGGGAGACCTCAAAGGCGTTTGGATCCAGGAGGAACATTATCAGAGCTGAGTTCAGGATAAATATACCCTAAATTTATGGGTAGAGGTCTCATATATTATCTCTCTAGCATATCTGCATTCAGCGGGAGACAAGAGAGATCAACCACATGTATGAACCTGAGGTGATGGACTTTCAGACACTAAGGCCAATCCTTAGTTTCTAGTTCCCTCAGTCAAACCACAAAGATGGAAATTTCACAAATGTGGTTACTCAAATGAAATACTTGGAGACTGGTAGGGCTCCAGATTCCTAAGTTCTGCCCCCTTAAGGTGCTAATTCAGAAGATCTGGTCTCAGGACTAGGAATCAATGTTTTTAAAGCTGGCCAGCTGATTTCAATAACCACTGACTCATATAATGACTTCTCTTAGATGCAAAGAACACTTGTATCAATGTAAGGAATTTTATTTAAAGAAGATTATCTCTGATACCCCTCCATGCCTGACCAAAAGTGCTTATACTGCCATAGATGCATTTTAGTCAGAGTTACTCAGAGAAACAGAATCAGTAGGATGTGTGTGTGGGTATACATAAAACCAATAGGATGTATGTGTACACACATGCACACACATATATTCTATTGGTTTTCTTTATGTTTAACACATACACACACACACACTTATTATAAGACTTATTATTATTGCTGACTCACCCAATCATAGAAGCTAATAAGTCTCAAGATCTGCAGTTGGCTAGCTGGAGTCCCAGAAAAACTGATGTGTAGGTCTAGTCCAGAAGCCAGGAAGAGCCGAAGCTTCAGTTCAAGTCTGAAGGTAGGAAAAAAAGCAATGTCCAAAGCCAGTGCTATCAGGCAGAAAAAAATTCCCTCTTACTCAACTTTTTGTACTATACAAGTCTTCAACTGATTGGATGAGGCCCACCCACATAACCAAGGACTAAATCAACTTTACCCAGTCTACAAACACAGTTAATTTCATCCCAAAACAGACATACCCAGAATAATGTTATACCAAACATGTGGGCACTCTGTTGCCCAGTCAAGTTGATATGTAAGATTAACCATCACAAGATATCATAATAAGGACTTCATTATAATAGTATGGTCCCTTATAATAACAATGGTAACAAGAATCATTATTATTTGTATTCCTTTAGTACCTGACACAATAGGTGTATAGACAGTGTTTGCAACTGAATGAATGAAGCAAGCATATTAGCATAGATGTTTATACTTTATTAAGTGTTTTTGTCACTTGTCACTTTACCCATACAATAACTGCTGGGCATTTGCAATAGATTTTCTTATTACCTTCTGTTTTTGAGATGAGTTGCACAAAGTACAAAGTGGTGAGTTTACCTGTCCAAGGACACAGGGTAAGTGATAAGGACCAGCTCAAACCCAGAGCTTCTTTTGTGATCTTTCCATTGTATGACACCAGTTCATTGCAGATTCATTACTGGCAAAGATGTGCATGCCTTCATGTTGTCCTCCCCTGACCATCAGCAATTTTCCGATCTTATGACCATGTCTATTGCTATCTCTAAATACAGGAGAGGTACACATTAACAAGTAAAAACCAAGAGATATGTTTGTACTTAATGCTACTAACAGGCAGCATCATTATAAGAGAGCTGAGTGTTGCTTGAAAAACATATTAATAAAAAATTCTCTTGCCTCTCTTAAGTATAAATTACATAGCAGAAGGGCTACGAAAGACTGGGCTTGACAGTTGCAGGATAACAACCTTGAAATATATCTATATTATCTGAGGGGTCTTTGGAGGTCTGTCTTTCGGACTTGGTTAGAGACCATGCTAATGAACTGCCTTAATGTCCATATTTTTGCAGGGCTATCTGTATTTCTTTTAAGGCCAAGTTTACCACAATTGGGAAAACTGCTTAGTTAGATATGAGGGTCTAGTCATTTTAAGTGCTTAATATGGTTAAATAAACCCGTCCAATTAATCAGAGGTCATTAGATTAATATATAGTTGTTTATCTCACATTTTCTAATAGACTTATATAAATTATTCTTTATATTTCTATTAAGGTTCATAGTTCATTCATTTGACAACTATTTATTCCATTGTAATCTTTGCTAATAACTAGAGTTGCAGAGAGAAGCTACAGTCTTTGCCTTCTGGTAGCTCACCATTTTGTACAATGGTTCTCAACTCTGGCTGCATATTAGATTATGGAAGAGCATTTTGAAAATGCCAATGCCTAGGCCCCAACCTGGAGATCCTGATTCTCTTGCTCTGGAATGGAGCCCAGGCATCAGTATATTTTAAAGGTTTTCTAAGTGATTATAACATGCAGAATCCAGATCTGTGGGAGAGACAACTATACATCCAGACAAGGTACACTGTTTTAAGTATTGGAGGAGAGAAATGTGTTACTGGCTATGGATTAGGAGAGCTACATTCTTCTAGGGTGGATGTGGAAAGGTTTACTGAGACTATGATTTTCTAATTGAGGGTATTAGAGAGTTTTAATTTTAATTTTTGATAAAGTTGTATTACTATTTTATTTGAGCTGCATCTTGGAGAATGGTGGACGAGAAGAGAAGGGAGGAAGACATACAGGGTAGTGTCTATGCAAAGGCACACAGGGAAAAGATGTCAGTGTCTTCAGAGAGTTTTTATTGTTTAGTTGGGCTGAAGTGTTGAGTGTATGAATTAATTATCATTAATTCTTTCATTCAAACAATGTTTATTGTTAATGTAAGCTGTGTGAGACATTATGTTAAGTGCTATGGGGGATTAAAAAATAAGACAAAAGAGATTTTCCTCCCAACAAACTCAGGCTATTTAAGGAAACACATAATGAATGATGGTGAGAGTGGTGATGGTGACAGTTTTGGTGGAGATGGTACTATAGGAACCAGAGCTTAATATGGAAATTTTGATTAGACACTAAGATATAACAGAAATGAAGTTCCAAAGTGAAATGCCAAATTATATTATGCAGATGTTTAGAGGAAATGGCTTTGAGTTGAGAGAGTGCAAAGGGAGCTGAGTGATGAGATTTCCTTCCAGAATGTTCTTGCTGAGTCATCAGGGAAGCGGGGAGGGTCATGGGTCTATGTCCTAGTCTCAAACTGGGTAAGAGGTAAAGGATCTGCTTCCCCAACTCAGTCCCAGAAGGAATAGTGGTGGGAGTTTGGTCAACTTGGGTCTTACCTCCTTTCACCCACCAAAAATAGAGAATAAGGGCCAGTAAACTTATTTTGTAAAAGATCAGGTAGTAAGTTAGGCTTTGCAAGAGGTGTGTTATCTATGTCATGTAATCTTTGTTTTTTCTGTCTCTTAAAAATGCAAAACCTTCTTAAATCTATAGGCTGTAGTTTGCTGACCCTTGGACTAGGAGGAAAAAATGGCCTGACCCACTTCAGGTAGAGCACTTGGAAATGAGGATGAAGAAGAAGCCAACAGTTCCCTCGCGGATAGAAAG